GAGGAGGTGAATATTATTACTCCATCTTGTTTGCAGAATTTTATAAAGAGCATGGTATAATTTACCAAACGACCATGTCATATACATCACAATAAAATGATGTAGCAGAAAGGAGAAATAGAACTCTAATGGACATGGTTAGGTTCATGATGAGTCATTCAAATTTATCAGCTTATTTTTGGGGTGAGGCTTTCAACACTGCAATGTATATTATTAATCATATCCCAACTAAATCTATAGACTTGACCCCATATGAATTATGGAGAAGTAGGAAACCTGACCTTACTATCTTGAAAGTTTGAGGTTTTTGAGCACATGTGCTTATACCGCTACAAAATAGAGATAATTACAAAGTAAAACTATAAAATGCTATTTAATAGGCTATTCAAAAAATTCTAAAGGGTATAGATTCTATAACCATGATACTAGATCATTAATAGAGAGTCTTGATGCTCATTTTTTAGAAAATATAGATGACGAAAATATTTTAAATAAGCCTATTGACTTGCATGAAATTGATAAAGATAAGGGTCTGGAAGACCCTGTTTCTCAGACTCCCTCTATATTTGATGAGAATGATTCAACTGGGTTAAGTATACCGGACATGCCTAAAAGAACCAGAGCCCCACCTACAATTTTAGAAGAATTTTATGTATTTATAAATGAAGATAATTATTCTTCAATGAGTGATCATACAATAGATGAATCTCGAAGCTAGACTGAAGCTATTAGCTCACATGACTCAACTGAGTGGACTCAAGCCACGAATGTTGAATTTGATTCTATTAAAAGAAATCAAATATGGGAGTTGGTTGACCTCCTTAAAGATAGAAAAGCCATTAGTTGTAAATGGGTCCTAAAAAAAAAGCTTAATGCAAATGGATCAATCGATAAATATAAAGCTAGGTTGGTAGCTAAAAGATTTACCCAAAGTGAGGGTATAGATCATGTAGAGACTTAATCTCCTGTAGCAAAATTTTCATATATTAGAATTATCCTAGCATTAGTTGCATATTATGATCTAGAATTATTTCAGATGGCAGTCAAACAACTTTCCTCAATGGAGAATTAAAGGAAGATATATACATGAAACAACCAGAAAGATATGTAACTAAAGGCAAAATATAAACTTAAAAAATCTTTATATGGTCTAAAACAGTTTTCTAGGCAATGGTACTTTACTTTTCATAATGCAATCGTTGAAATTGGTTATATAACCAATAGGTTAGACCATTGTGTATATGTCTGAAATAGTAAGAGCAGTTTTGTTATATTGTCATTATATGTGGATGATATTTTGATAGCCGGTAATGATGTTGGCATGATTAACCATACCAAAACATGGCTAAATTCCTACTTTGAGATGAAAGATATGAGAGAAGTTTCATATGTACTGGGCATTAAGATAACAAGAGATAGAAGGTCAAGACTTCTATGTTTATCTCAAAAAAATTATTTAGAAAGTACTTTAAAGATATTTAAGAAGGAAAATTGCAAGCCCATAGATACACTAGTTTGTAAGGTTGAAAATTGTCAAAGAAAATGTATCCATTAAATGATAGTGATAAAGTTAAAATGGAAAGAATTATATATGCTCAAGCTGCATGATGCATAAATTATGTCATGTTATGTACAAGACCTGATTTGAGTAATACATATGGTCTTATAAGTAGATATCAGATTAATCCTGAGATGGCTCATTAACAAGCTGTAAAAAGAAAACTAAAAATTACAAGATGTGCTTCCAAGCTGACAACTTAAAGGTTACTGGGTACTTTGATGCAGATTTTGCAAAAAACCCAGATGATAGAAAATTAACCTCAGGATTTGTTTTCCTCTTTGGAGGTGGATTTGTTTATTGGTCTAGCATGAAACAAGGTTGTGTAGCTCGGTATACTATGGAAGCCAAATATATTGCTTGTAGCATTGCTACAACTTATGCTGTCTGAATTAAACGCTTCATAAATGATTTGAAGCTTGATATAGCTGACGGATCTATTAATTTTTTTTGTGATAATCAGGCTGCTACTTCATCAATTAAAAATAGAGCTTATAGTTCCCAGGGTAAGCACATTGAAATTGATTATCTTTACATTTATGATATTATTGAAAAGAATGAAATAGTTGTAAGTTATTTGCCATTTTCAAATCTGATTGAAGACCCTTTAACAAAGAGATTGGGGGTAGAAATATTATCATAGCATTTAGCTTTGATGGGACTTAAAAATATTTAAGTCAGGAACTCCTAAATGGGATATTTTTCTTTGATGTCTTGGTCATGAGAAGAAAAGCCGCATTAATATGAAAAACCCATGACATGACTTTTGATATTTTTTGTTATGACATATATAACCGTACTAGTGTGAAAAGCCTCATGACAATGATATGCTCATAAATGTTAGACCACTAAGTGATATTATTTCAATATACCTGGCCCTCATGGTCAAGTTGGAGAATGTTGGCACGTATGGGTAGCTATGGGGCCCTCAAATATGTCTTTCATTATCTTAAAGTCTATGTTTATCACTAAAATAGGGATGCTTCTTAGAGAGAGAAAGTGTAGTTATCTAGTGGGTAGAAAATAACCACCCACATCCCAGGATTACAGAGTCACGTTTCCCAGAGTTTTAAGGAGAAGGCCGAACGTTGGAGAATGGTATCTTCCATCCTATATAATTAGGCCTTTCATGGCCATGGAAAGACACACACAGAGAAGCTTGAGTTCTCATTATTCTGGAAAACCCTCTTAGCCTCACGATACTGCCCCTAATCCTGAGAATTTAGGGATCAATCTCTTCCCTCATAATCCAAATCCATCGCTTCCCTCATAATCCAACATAGGAGGCACTTCTCTCTCTAAAGGAAACCACCTTTCCCATATGGTAACTCAAATATGATACACAAATTCTCTGTACTTTTATCCCATATTTATAAGATTACGAATTCGCACTACATAGGAAACTTCATATAGATGGATATCTTAAAACCAAGAGACCTAATCTTTTTAGATTTTTATGTTTTTTAAAAAACTTATAAATATCAATTTCAATCCGACGTAATATAAAATTCTCTCATGTGGTGATTTTAGATAGCATCAAATCCACCATGATAATGCTGAGGGTAATGGAGGGAGAAATGGGATCCACCTTTGTCAAACGTCTAGGCACTTCTCTCTTCATCACAATCCACATATCAACTCTTGGGGACCTAATTTCGGTTGCCCAATATATCAGAGAAGATTATTATTCCAAACCAAGACATTTTGTTTGCCCTTGGCAGACAGTTACATTGTCCCCCACCCTTGGGATTATTTGTTGCACTCCGAACTTGACACACATTCTCTTAACTTGATGAGGAAGTTTATGAAAATAGAAAAAATTAGAAAATGTTATTTTATTATGGATGCAGGCTGTCCATTTCATAGAAGGCTAGATCTGGCACTATAAAATTAAAAAACAATATTTTAAAGAATTCATCTAGTGATGATGGGACAATCTACCTAATTTGATATTCCTAGGGCTGCAACAAATGGCTTATATTCATTGTATTCTCTTTTTCCTAAAAGACTAGTTTCAATATTTCTTCCTAACTCTTTCTTTTTCAAAATCCTATTTTTTGGGATCAATAGGTTGTGTATGCAATATTTAGACTGAAACAAATGCCTGTGATCCTCAGAATATGAAAGTACGTGCATGCAATATTTGAGGAAGTTGGAGCCAGCTACGGTGCTCTAGAAAATCAGTTCAGATTAGTGGATTGGCAGTGCGGATCAACATATTCGGCCAAAAAGAAAACAAAAAATAGAGAACAAACTAAAAAGTTGAAAAAATAATAAAAAGTAAAAAGCGGGGCCAGATTAGCAGGTTTTTAGCAGAACCCAAGAACTAGTTGGTTCCTGATATATGATGGGAACCAGGATGGTCCCACTGTTCCTGATTACGATTGGCATTTTTTAAAACCCTAGTTGTGACAAAAAAATTTTAGTTTGAAGGTAACTATGTACTGAAAATAGCCAGCCTAAAAACATCCCTAAGAAGTTAGCAATTACCTTTTCTAGCTATCAAGTCAATGGGAGGAAGTGTATATTATGTTCCCTAATGGATATGCTCCAGTCAGGGATTGGACTTGGGGTGCATAGAAGAACCATATGCGTAGTCAAATCTTTTCTGTCCAACTTCCAAGGGAGCACGCGATACTATCCATTGAGGAGCAAGGTAGATTTTCTTACAATATTGTATACCATGCACCACTATGCCAAAAATAATTCCCCTTTCCCCACAATTTCTTCACTTACTTTTGAATATGATGTCTTATTAATTTTGTATAATGCGGCATTCATGATGGATAACATGGAAAGTCCAAATTTCTCTACTTTGATAAGAAACTGAGTTGCATTTTCATTAAAGGAAATTTAACAAATTAACCGTGAGATATAAATTATTCACTATTTTATCAATTTTCAACTATTCGAACTCATAATAAGTGTCTTTTGGTTGGTATTTTGAATTTAAATGAAAAAGAATATGGGTAGAATGTTAAATACTTTCTTTCATAGGTATTTGGATAAATTTCTTTTAATTAAAATAGGACAAACTTGCCCTTCTTTTCTATATTAAGGTAATGTCATTATGTTGTAATTAGCTTAGGAATAAAGAGTCATCAAAAGATGAATGTGTAAGATTATTTATTAGTCTATTCCTTATGAAAATGGTGTAACATTGTTTAGAAATGGTGTAACATTGTTTAGAAAGAACATCTTTAGTATAAAAAGATTGCAATGATATTTAGTTGTTGGATTTGAAATTGGTGCTAATGCCATGTTTAAGGTTCAAAAGAAAATTTTTCGAACTTTATTATACAGTTGTATGTGGCTCATTTCAGATGTGACCGTTAAAAATGATTATAGCCTTCTTCTACTAAGAATAAACTATTTAGTAATGTACAATCCATATAATTCATTATTCTATTCCTTTCATTTACAAGTAAAACCTGCTTGCTAGGTTCCTTTGGGACTGTATGGTGAGGATGGCGTCCCACCAAACAAGGGAAAGATATACATCTCGGAAGCCAGTCCTCCATGTGTGCCAAAAGCCTATTTCTCTCAGTTTAAGAAGGATTTCTCATTATTTCTCAAATCACGCTCTGAAGAAATGATTGACGGTGGTCGAATGGTGTTAATGCTTTTGGGTCGAAGGACTGATAATCCATGTGACAAAGATGCCACTTTTCTTTGGGAAATTTTTGCAAAAGCCTTCGCTTACTTGGTTTCAAAGGTATGGTCATTCTTCTTCTATTCCCTTCAAAGTTTTCATGCAAGTTGTCGAGAAGTTGCCAGCTTTAAAAGAAGAAAAAACTCTAAGATGCACTTCAAAAATCCAGTTATAAAGAGCATTCTAAAGTTGAAAAACTTTTCAATTGATCACTTCGAGAAGCATGGATATAAAAAAATAAAGAATTTCATATTTTTAAAATAATATATTGTAACAAGTTATCTGGACCGTCTATTTTAAAAAATGTAAGTGTTTATAGATATGTTTGATCTGCACCAATTTAGAATGTTAAATTTTCTCTTTTTAAGTATACTTTCTGTAATTTATCATTCCACGAAATTTTTCTAGATTAGGGTTTTATTGGAATTTGTGACACACCTGATGAGAAAATATTTGATGCATCACGAGGTAGAACTGCGACCCCAATACCTCACTTTGATCTTCAAGATGAATTTCAAAAAACTGGTGGCCCTACCAAAAAACTAAAATGAACAGTGAAAACAATTTAAAGTTTTAATATGGAAAAAATTTATATAAGGTTGCAACCTTAAAATGTAGAAATAAAGATGCACTAAAAATTCCATCGGAAAATGTTATTTTAATATTGAAACCCCACTAATCGATCATATGAATATGAAAAAATATATATAAATTTTGAGTCGTAGAAATAGTATATCCTGCAACACATTATCTAAACCGTTCATTTTTTAGATTTTCAAATTTTATAAATCTACTTGATTTTAACCATTTTGGGAGTTTACAATTTTATAATTAGATATGAAAATAGATTTTCATAAAATCCTAAAAATGTTTTACACCAACATTACATGTTATGATAAAATTTGGTGGTGCACTTTAATTGGATTGTTTAAGATTGCAACCTTATAGAAACCACAGCTTTTTAAAATTAATTATTTTGAGATTCATATTCACCATTGTTAACATTTTCAAACCCTTAAATTTGGATCCAAAATCTACCTCAAAGATCAATTTTGGAGAGGGACACTTGTTAATTAGCTTAGGAATAAAGAGTAAGCTAACTCATCGAAACCTTACCTCCATTAGATTTCACGTTTGTCCACTACAAGCGATTGTGACAATCCTCGTGCCAGATGTAATGCAGTATTGCTTTTCTGAAATAATTGATAATAATGGATGATTTCTACTGCATTCTATCAGTTGTTCATTTGCACAATCTTTTGGCACGTGTGGATGCATACTAATAAAGGTGTGGTATGCATAAGGTTGCAACATCAAACAATTAGGTTAAGGCACACCTCCAAACTTTGTCATAAGATGTAATTTTGGAGTAGAAAATTTTTAGAATCGCCTAAAAATCTATTTTCATATCTAATTATAAAAGTTTCAAGTTCAAAATTGGTCCAATTCAGGCGATGTGTTACAAGATATACTATTTCATAAAAATGTTGAAAATGGACGGTCTGGATAATGTATTGCAAGATATATTATTTTTGGGACTTGAAATCTTTTTATTATATATATATATATATATCTATACATCTTGACATCGAGATGATCAATTAAATAGTTTTCCAACATAAAAAGCAAACTTCTTCAATAGGTTTTTGAGGTACACCTTAATTTTAAAATATAAGTGTCAATCTTATATAGTTTTTTTCATACTAATAATTATTTTTCGCTTCAATACGAAATAAGATTCTGAGATTTATTTTTGTATTTAAAGTGAAAAAAGAATTATTTACTTGTTTAGGGTTTGGTTGAAAAGGAAAAGGTGGATTCTTACGATGTGCCTTTCTACGCTCCATCCTTAAAGGAAGTGGAAGAGGAGGTCATGAGAGAAGGGTCCTTCCAAATTGAGCATGTGGAGGTGCTCAATACACATCGAAAACATAACCACTGCAGAAAAATAGTGATGGCAGTTCGGTCAATAAATGAGCCCATGCTTAAGCAACATTTTGGAGAGAAAATAAATGACAATTTGTTTGAGAAGTATGGAGAGATACTTGAAAAGGAAATGGCTCAAGTGGAGACTAAGGAGATCAGCTTCTCTATAGTCCTAAGGAAATCACATTGATTTCTATGCATTGTGCATTTCCCTTTGATTTTGGTTGTTTGCAAAATTTCCTTTTCAATGGCAAGTAAGGCATTGAATTTTCATTTTGTTGCCACTATGTTGACCAACGCTGTTTCATGTTTTTGGCATGACATTAAATATCGGAAATTATGAAGTTCCATTTTCTCCTCTTAATCTATAAGTAGTTATCCAAAAATATGTTATACTGCACACTAAATCATAGATTGAAGCTGAAAATTTGAGAGAGGAAAGAATTCATCAAGAAGATATTTAGAGTGAAAGGTGAACTATGTGATAAAGCACAATATATATAAATTAAATTTTTTTTTTTTCCTTTCATCGGCAAGATACTTACAACGTCTAATTACAATTAAAATCACTAGTGAAATTAATAAAGTTTTTAGTAGTTAATCATTTTACAGCCTTGTTTTTATTAGTCATCCATTCTACACCCATTTTGAGTCTACAAGTTTTTAGTAGTTAACCATTCTACATCCCTGGCTTTAGTAGTTATCCATTCTACACTCTTTTTGATTCTACATCCCTGGTTTTAGTAGTTATCCATTGTACACCCCTTTTGAGTCTACAAGTTTTTAGTATTTAACCATTCTATACTTCCGTTTTTAGTAGTTATCCCCCTTTTGAGTCTACAAGTTTTTAGTAGTTAACCATTCCACACCTCTGCTTTTAGTAGTTATCCATTCTATATCCCTTTTGAGTCTACAAAAAACACTAACGTGCCTCTTTTAGAGATGAGACATGGTAGGCCAGGAAATCTGAGAGAGATAAAGACTGCATAGAGAGAAAACCTAGATTTCTAGCCGTCCTTGAAACAAACTTTTAGCCAAGGTTTGGTCAACCAATCCAATGTTTGGTCAAGTTTAAAGAGAGAACAACATATGACATACATACACAACTGTGGTTCTAATACAGGCAAAGCCTCTGGTGCCTCGAACCAACTAGCCTAGCCAGGTATTTTCCTCATCAGCTCTTTTTCTCTTACTTTTCATTTATTTTGTTAGATTTATGATTTTATTCTTTCTATTTTTTTAGATTTATGATTTTATTCTTTCTTTTTTTTAATTATTTTTTTAATTTTTTATTTCAATCTTTTGTGCTTTTTAGATCCATACTGGCAGATCGATGTTGGCTCTGCCACTGATTTGAGAACGGATCAATTTGTTTTTTAATAGATCTGGTCTTAGATTAGAATTTGATTTTCCCCACTTTTTCTCACTTTTAAAATCAGTTTGTGGGGATCTTCCTCGGAAGAACTCTCTGATTTGCATGTAAATAGTTTGACATCCACCGTGGGGTATTTCGAGCTAGATCCATGCACAAAAAATAAAAATAAAACAGAAAATGAAAACAGCCCCTGATCTCCTTTTGAGGGTCGTTTTAAAAAATAAAATTCCAAGAAAGAGGCGAAACAAAGAGAGAATGTTTTCCATAGGAAAGCCTTGCTTCGATTCCTTCCTATAATTTAGAATTTCTTTTGTCACCCAGTTGCCTTCTAAATAGAGCACGTTTATTCTTTTGGTTAATCTTCTGCATCTAAGGGAATTGGATAAAAGTTTTGGGTCTCACATGTTTATCTTATGCTTCTAAGGGAATTGGATAAAGGTTTGGGTATCACGTGTTCTTTAAAGTAATGAGAAGAAATAATAGTAAGAGAAATAAGGCTGTTGAAGTTTAGAAGAGAAAGAGGTCGCAAGGTCCATAGTCGTGATGTGTGTGATTGTAGCCTACCTTACTGATATGCCTTTGATTCGCCCTTCTTTGCAACGCTAGCCTATCTTACTGATATTCCTCCATCTTTGCAATGCATTCCCTATTCTATAAGGTACTGTTTAAGCGCAGCTTTTACCTCAGCAATAAACACTTCTGCCTAAGTATATTTTTCAAGCTTGCCGGCTAGACCCTGTGCTCCTGAAAACTGCCTTGCGCGCGCAACCGACTATAACAGTAACAACTTCCCTCTCGGATCACGAATTTTTTGGTTTTTTAATCGTTATTTTCTTTTTTTACTACCTTGGTAGTTTTTTGAACTTTTTTATGTCTCTATGAAACAGAAATATTGTGTTCGAAGGCCTCTTCAACTTCAAACAGAAGACAGAAGAGAAAAAAAAAAAAAAAATCATTTCATTTTAAAAAAAAAAGGAATTTTTCTTTTTTAGTATTTCAAAAAAGAAAATTTTTAAGGCCTCTTTGTTTTAACAAAGAAAAAAAAGTGATGGTTGTTGTAAATTTTTTTGTTTTTGTAAGGGCCATTCTATCTCCAAAAATAAAAAATAAAAAAAAAAACCTCTTTTGCTAAATTTCAAAAAAATTAAAAATAAAAATTTTAGGGCCTTTCTCATTTTTGAAAAAAGAAAATTTGCTTTGTAAGAAAAAAAAAAAAAAATTTAAAGCTTATTTGGTTTCATTTTTTATTTTATTTTTTTTACAGAAGTTTCTTTTTGTAAGCCATTTCATTTTCACGAAAAAAATAAAAAAAAGAGACCCTTCACTTAAAAAAAAAAATTCACATTTAAGGCATCTTCTTTTTAAAAATAAAAAATAAAAATAAAAATAAAAATACTTTGTGAAAAAAGAAAAAAGTCACTTTTTATTTCTTTGCTTATGATTCAACATTTGCCACTTCTCTCCATTCATCAAAAAAAAGAAGGGAAAAAAAAATCCAGGGTTACCTACACACTCTCTTTAATTATGCCTTGATCAAGTCACCCCTGACTCAGGGCATACCCAACTAAGCATGGGTTCTGCTTGGTTCTACTTTTATTAACTGTTGACCTTCTTAGGGGTTGCTTACCCCTGCACCTTCACTGTGCTTTTGGTCTGTTAAGACTCAGACTCAAAGCGCACGTCACTCGGCACGGTTTGTGCCAAGTGCTCATACTTTCTGATATCTTGTGTTTGCCTATTTTCTATTTTATTTTCACCTGCATGCTTTTTTGCACACTCTTGCACACAATGGACCGGGGAAACCCGGGAAACCAACAAAAAGTTTCAAAACCCTCCAAAATCCAGCATTAACTGTAGGCAAACCTAGCCTTGAGAGCTAAGGCGGTTGGATTCGCATGACTTAAACAGTGAGCGCCCCTCTGTAATCCTTAGCCTCAAAACAACTCCACACATAGCAGGACCTGGTTGATTCCTTTAACAGGTGGCCAGGACCTACGTGGGGACCTGCTCAGCTTAGCCGCATTTCTATACTTAGGAACCCACTCAGACCTAGCCTACCATAGTTTAGGGCAAAGTTTCCGAGTGTTTTGTTTGCTTATTATAGTTTATTAGTCTTAGATCTTTGTCCTGATCTAAGATCTCACCTAGACCTTAGTCCGAGTCTACACTCGGTCTAATTTTGAAACCTTATGGGTCAAAGTTCAGGCTTGTGCTCAGCCTAGCCTAGGTTCGAACCTAGGCCCCCTTTTGGTCCGAGCCAAGGGCTCGTACCTAACCCAACCTTGATTCAGTCTAGGTCAACACCCGGTCTGATACTCAAAACCCTCTAGGTCCAAGCCTAGGCTTGTACTCAGCTTAGTCCAGGTCTAAACCTGGTTCACACCCAGGTCCGAACTTAGACATCCTCTTGGTCCAAGCCAAGACTCGTACCTATCCAGTCTAGATCTTAGTCTAGGTCTAAAAATAGAATTGCCTCTAGAACTTGACTAGGCTCATCTTAGTTTAGGGTCAAAACCAAAACCCATTAAGTATAGCAAGATCTCGAGTCTAGGACCTAACTCTGGTCTAAACTAAAAGTTAAAATACGTCCCTCAGGCCCACGTATACCAAACTGCCATGGTGACTGCGACTCATCAACCTCAGGTCCATACGGGCCAATACATATCCCAAGCCTTGACTCATCAGTCTACACTTGGGAACCTGCCAACCGGTGGACCTACCGTCATTATGAAAGCAATGCAAGACATACTTGTAAGAATGGACGTTCACGAAGTTTTACCCCCGAAAGCCTATATTCATGAGACCCTCAGAGGCATGGAGGACCTTTCCTTCGGATTCATCATCCCAGAATTCCGAAACAAGTTCAATGGGAAGAGCGATCCAGATACCCACATTAATGCATACTTCCTCTCCGTTCGAGGTTTGCGAGATAGGCCAAATCAACTGAAGGCCATAATTTCGCAAACGTTGTTGGGCGAGGCTTTGAATTGGCATTGAAGAATGATGTGTACTCAACCGCACATCACTCTAGATGAAATGTTCAATCTATATCTCACTACTGTGGATCGACACCAAAACCTCTCTCCCTGTGCGAACTCAGTGCAACATAACAAAATCCAAGATAATCCTTTGAAGATTTCATAAATTGATTCTACGAGGCGGCGATGCGAGTCATTGAATGTCTACTCATAGACCCGGCCAAGATCTCCATGTCCTTAGAAAATGTTGCTCCCGAATACAGGATCTTCTTCAACTAAGGTCTTATCTCCTACTCTTTCGACTCCATGATTGAGCAGGTGGCATGCCACGAAAGGGCCAGAGGAACACCTCTCAGCACTAGACCCGAGAACAAATCAATAACCACTCCAAAAAAATAAGATAATGGGCCGGCTCGAGGTTCAGCTACTCAACACAACTACTAGAACCAAAATCAAAGGTGTCGGCTTAGAGTCAACGCTCAAAATAACAAAAAAATGCGAGGGGATAATTTCACTTATCTCAAAGACCCATTAGTAAAGGTGCTTGAATTATTCATATCCAAAGACATGGTTTGCCTCCCAGCACTATCTGAGCCACCATTCTAAGTCGCGGACAGGAGCAAGTGGTGCAAATGGCACCGAAACCATGCACATGACACACGAAAATGCTATCATTTAAAACGCGTCATTTAGGGGTTGATCGATAGAGGGACATCACTGTACCACAAAAGAATCAGCCTGTCGAGGAGCCCAATCAAAAGATGGGTATCTTTACAAATTCTCTTCTGGAAAATACAGTCACAATTGCCGAAAAGACAGAAGCTCAAAACTATTCTAAGGGGAACATCATCATCCACATGATTGAGAATGGAGTTGAAGAAGAAGACCCAACTTAATTCATATTCACTAGTGGTCATCACCTGCAAGAGCCCCAAGATGATGTACTGGATCTTCTAAAAGGAACCCTTTCATCTCAAAGCCTCGACAACCCACTCAAGTGGGACCAATATGATGAGGACGACATGTTAGAAATCGATGTGGTCTGGATCAACGAGAAAGGATCATCCTCCAATCGAGGGACCAACACCCTAAAGCACCCCATCACTCTCGCAAGGGCCGACCCTATCGAGCTTCAGGTAAGTGAAGTAGACTCCTTGACCCTAAGAGGCAGAGTTTTCAAGCCCATCCGTTTGATGGCCGATACCCTCGAGGAAAGAATAGGGAAAACCCCTGAGCCCAAGCGACCAGCGATTACCATAAATCTAGAACCCCAAAAGGAGTCAAGAGAAAACTCGACCACTTACGATTTGCCAGCACATCTTGGCAAGATCTAAGCTCACATCTCCATCTTGGTGCTGCTAGCCAACTCACTAACATATAATGCCCAAATCGAGAAGGTCCTCTCCAAAACGCACATCCCAAGCAACATCCAACCAGAAGAGCTGAGTGGGATGATCAACCAGTTGACAACACCAACATCGATCGTGTTCATATACGATGACATCACAGCTAGCTTCAATCGCTTTCACATCCAACCACTGCACATCATTGTTTTCATGGAAGGATATGAGATATAAAGGGTGCTCATTGACAATGAGGCATCCTTAAACATATGCCCTATGAAAATAGTAAACAGATAGGCAAGAACTCGGATAATTTCGAGCCATGTCAGGTCAATATCGTTGTGTATGATGGGACCAAGAGACAAATTGAAGGCATACTGCCGCTTACACTCAAGATCGACCCCATCGTCCAAGTGATAAATGTTCATGTCTTGGACATAAAACCCTCATTAAACATACTACTAAG